CCTGGTCACCTCCCACCTGGTCACCTCCCACCTGGTCACCTCCCACCTGGTCACCTCCCACCTGGTCCCTCCCACCTGGTCACCTCCCACCTGGTCACCTCCCACCTGGTCACCTCCCACCTGGTCCCTCCCACCTGGTCACCTCCCACCTGGTCACCTCCCACCTGGTCACCTCCCACCTGGTCACCTCTCACCCACCTGGTCACCTCCCACCTGGTCACCTCCCACCTGGTCACCTCCCACCTGGTCACCTCCCACCTGGTCACCTCCCACCTGGTCCCTCCCACCTGGTCACCTCCCACCTGGTCCCTCCCACCTGGTCACCTCCCACCTGGTCACCTCCCACCCGGTCACCTCCCACCTGGTCACCTCCCACCTGGTCACCTCCCACCTCACCTCCCACCTGGTCCCTCCCACCTGGTGGTCACCTCCCACCTGGTCACCTCCCACCCGGTCACCTCCCACCTGGTCACCTCCCACCTGGTCACCTCCCACCTGGTCCCTCCCACCCGGTCACCTCCCACCTGGTCACCTCCCACCCGGTCACCTCCCACCTGGTCACCTCCCACCTGGTCATCTCCCACCTGGTCACCTGGTCCCTCCCACCTGGTCACCTCCCACCCGGTCACCACCTGGTCACCTCCCACCTGGTCACCTCCCACCTGGTCACCTCCCACCTGGTCACCTCCCACCTGGTCACCTCCCACCTGGTCACCTCCCACCTGGTCACCTCCCACCTCCCTGGTCACCTCCCACCTGGTCACCTCCCACCTGGTCACCTGGTCACCTCCCACCTGGTCACCTCCCACCTGGTCACCTCCCACCTGGTCACCTCCCACCTGGTCACCTCCCACCTGGTCACCTCCCACCTGGTCACCTCCCACCTGGTCACCTCCCACCTGGTCACCTCCCACCTGGTCCCTCCCACCTGGTCATCTCCCACCTGGTCCCTCCCACCTGGTCACCTCCCACCCGGTCACCTCCCACCTGGTCCCACCTGGTCACCTCCCACCTGGTCCCTCCCACCCAGTCACCTCCCACCCGGTCACCTCCCACCTGGTCACCTCCCTCCCGGTCACCTCTCACCTGGTCACCTCCTACCTGGTCACCTCCCACCTGGTCCCTCCCACCTGGTCACCTCCCTCCCGGTCACCTCTCACCTGGTCACCTCCCACCTGGTCACCTCCCACCTGGTCCCTCCCACCAGGTCACCTCCCACCTGGTCACCTCCAACCTGGTCCCTCCCACCTGGTCATCTCCCACCTGGTCCCTCCCACCCGGTCACCTCCCACCCGGTCACCTCCCACCCGGTCACCTCCCACCCGGTCACCTCCCACCTGGTCACCTCCCACCTGGTCCCTCCCACCCGGTCACCTCCCACCTGGTCACCTCCCTCCCGGTCACCTCTCACCTGGTCACCTCCCACCTGGTCACCTCCCACCTGGTCCCTCCCACCCGGTCACCTCCCACCCGGTCACCTCCCACCCGGTCACCTCCCACCCGGTCACCTCCCACCCGGTCACCTCCCACCCGGTCACCTCCCACCTGGTCCCTCCCACCTGGTCCCTCCCACCTGGTCACCTCCGACCTGGTCACCTCCGACCTGGTCACCTAACACCTGGTCACCTCCCACCTGGTCACCTCCCACTGGTCCCTCCCACCTGGTCACCTCCCACTCGGTCCCTCCCACCCGGTCACCTCCCATCTGGTGACCTCCCACCCGGTCACCTCCCACCTGGTCACCTCCCACCTGGTCACCTCCCACCTGGTCCCTCCCACCTGGTCATCTCCCACCTGGTCCCTCCCACCTGGTCACCTCCCACTCAGTCACCTCCCACCTGGTCACCTCCCTCCCGGTCACCTCTCACCTGGTCACCTCCCACCTGGTCACCTCCCACCTGGTCACCTCCCACCTGGTCACCTCCCACCTGGTCACCTCCCACCTGGTCACCTCCCACCTGGTCACCTCCCACCTGGTCACCTCCCACCTGGTCCCTCCCACCCGGTCATCTCCCACCTGGTCCCTCCCACCTGGTCACCTCCCACCCGGTCACCTCCCACCTGGTCACCTCCCACCTGGTCCCTCCCACCCGGTCACCTCCCACCCGGTCACCTCCCACCTGGTCACCTCCCTCCCGGTCACCTCTCACCTGGTCACCTCCTACCTGGTCACCTCCCACCTGGTCCCTCCCACCTGGTCACCTCCCTCCCGGTCACCTCTCACCTGGTCACCTCCCACCTGGTCACCTCCCACCTGGTCCCTCCCACCAGGTCACCTCCCACCTGGTCACCTCCCACCTGGTCCCTCCCACCTGGTCATCTCCCACCTGGTCCCTCCCACCCGGTCACCTCGCACCCGGTCACCTCCCACCCGGTCACCTCCCACCTGGTCACCTCCCACCTGGTCACCTCCCACCTGGTCACCTCCCACCTGGTCCCTCCCACCCGGTCACCTCCCACCTGGTCACCTCCCTCCCGGTCACCTCTCACCTGGTCACCTCTCACCTGGTCACCTCCCACCTGGTCACCTCCCACCTGGTCCCTCCCACCTGGTCACCTCCCACCCGGTCACCTCCCACCCGGTCATCTCCCACCTGGTCACCTCCCACCTGGTCATCTCCCACCCGGTCCCTCCCACCTGGTCCCTCCCACCTGGTCCCTCCCACCTGGTCCCTCACCCTGTGTGGTAAGAGAACTTTATCCTGCTATCACTTGGCTAAGATAATAACCTCAACTTCCATCTATCCATCTACCTATCTATCTATGTAGAAATCTATCCAACTATCTAAATATCTATTTAACTGTCCATCTATTTTTCCATCTATCCATCAATGCCACTATCCATCCAGCTTTCTATATTTCCATATATCCATCTTCCAATCCTCCATTTTCCTTCTATCATCAATCAGATAGCATCTATCTGTCCTTCTCTCTCTCTCTATCATTTTATCTATCCATCAATTCGATTTACCTATCCATCTATCTGTCTATCTATCTAATCCATCAATCTATCCACCAAACTACTCACCTTTATGTCTATCGATTTATCCACCTATTTATCAATCCATCTACTTATCCATCCACCAATCTATCCATCAGTTCATAAGTCATTCCAACGTATTTTCCGAGTGACCAGTGCAGTTGTTTCAGCTCTTTTTAATAATAAATTTTTTGAGAGGAGAGAGAGAGAGAGAGAGAGAGAGAGAGAGAGAGAGAGAGAGAGAGGGTAAAGCGAGAGGGTAAAGCAAGGGTAGAAGGGATAGGGAGGAAAGAAAAGAGGTAGGGCGAAAATAAGGAGGAAGGGTGGTACCATGAGTGGGGGGGGGGGAGGGGGATTGGGGAAGAGTAGGTGAAGGATAAAATCGGAGAAGAGTGGGGCAAATGGGGAATAGATGAAAAGAATGGGAGGAGACTCGGATTCAGCCTGCCTAAGGGGGGCCTGACGGCTGAGTGGACAACGCTCTGTATTTGTAGTCCTAATGCTCCGGGTCGATCCCTGGTGGAGGCAAAAACAAATAGGCAGAATTTCTTTCATCCTGATGCCCCCTGTTCATCTAGCAGTAAATAGATACCTTCGAGTTAGACAGCTGCTACGGGCTGCTTCCTGAGGGTGAGTAACAAAAAAGAGGCCTAGTCGAAGACCGGGCCGAGGGGACGCTAAGCCCCGAAATCGGCTCAAGATAACCTCTCAAGAAGACAACCGGTTACCCTTTTATATATATATATATAAATATTATATATATATACATATATATATACATATATATATATATATATATATATATATATATATATATATATATATATATATATATATATATATATATATATATGTCGTACCTAGTAGCCAGAACGCACTTCTCAGCCTACTATGCAAGGCCCGATTTGCCTAATAAGCCAAGTTTTCATGAATTAATTGTTTTTCGACTACCTAACCTAACCTAACCTAACTTTTTCGGCTACCTAACCTAACCTAACATATAAAGATAGGTTAGGTTAGGTTAGGTAGGGTTCGTTAGGTTCGGTCATATATCTACGTTAATTTTAACTCCAATAAAAAAAATTTGATCTCATACATAATGAAATGGGTAGCTTTATCATTTCATAAGAAAAAATTTAGAGAAAATATATTAATTCAGGAAAACTTGGCTTGTTAGGCAAATCTGGCCTTGCATAGCAGGCCAAGTACGACGTTCTGGCTACTAGGTACAACATTATATATATATATATATATATATATATATATATATATATATATATATATATATAAGTAATTATCAAAAGAAGGCACCAAACCGGGAAGGCTATGTAGCACCATCGAATGTGCGAAATAATCAGAGGGCGCTAAATATCACCAAGGATGCCAATACGAGAACAAAAACGCATAAGGCGAACGATATCAAAAGTATCCGAGTCACCAAGAACTCTATTGATGGACAAGTGACCGTGAGGGGCAGTCGGAAAGCGAGACACACGCTCGTCCTGGAAGTCAGGACATTCAAGAAGGACATGCACGACCGTAAGAGGGACAATGCAATTAGGACAATAAGGAGCAGACCAGCACTCCATCAAGTGACCATGGGTTAAGCGAGTATGGCCAGTATGCAACCTCGCCAGAGCTGTTTCCCATCGCCGGTTACGGTGGTAGGAGGACGGTCACGAGGAAACACAACTTTTAACAGTACATAGTTTGTTATCAGTAACAGACGAACAAGAAGCCTGCCAACGGGTAATGATGGAGGAATGGATAACCGGGTAAAAGTCGGTATATGGAACACTATTACGAGAGTTGGGACAAGAGCGGACAGCTTCCTTGGTGGCAGCATCTGCACACTCATTTAAAGACACACCAATATGGCTGGGAACCCAACAAAACTCAACCGACTTAAATTTACTGTGAACAAGAAACAGCCAATGCTGGATCTCGACAACTACTGGATGAACCGGATTAAAGGACCCGAGAGCCATGAGGGCACTACGAGAGAGCCCTCTTCTCGTTATCAGTCTCCCAGTGTGTCGTATGTGTCGTCTCCCAGCGTGTCGTCTCCCAGAGTGTCGTCTGAGTCGTCTCCCAGAGTGTCGTCTCCCAGAGTGTCGTCTGAGTCGTCTCCCAGAGTGTCGTCTCCCAGAGTGTCGTCTCCCAGAGTGTCGTCTGAGTCGTCTCCCAGAGTGTCGTCTCCCAGAGTGTCGTCTGAGTCGTCTCCCAGAGTGTCGTCTGAGTCGTCTCCCAGAGTGTCGTCTGAGTCGTCTCCCAGAGTGTCGTCTGAGTCGTCTCCCAGAGTGTCGTCTGAGTCGTCTCCCAGAGTGTCGTCTGAGTCGTCTCCCAGAGTGTCGTCTGAGTCGTCTCCCAGAGTGTCGTCTGAGTCGTCTCCCAGAGTGTCGTCTGAGTCGTCTCCCAGAGTGTCGTCTGAGTCGTCTCCCAGAGTGTCGTCTGAGTCGTCTCCCAGAGTGTCGTCTGAGTCGTCTCCCAGAGTGTCGTCTGAGTCGTCTCCCAGAGTGTCGTCTGAGTCGTCTCCCAGAGTGTCGTCTGAGTCGTCTCCCAGAGTGTCGTCTGAGTCGTCTCCCAGAGTGTCGTCTGAGTCGTCTCCCAGAGTGTCGTCTGAGTCGTCTCCCAGAGTGTCGTCTGAGTCGTCTCCCAGAGTGTCGTCTGAGTCGTCTCCCAGAGTGTCGTCTGAGTCGTCTCCCAAGGTGTACGTGTGGAGGCACTTACCAGTGACGACGCTGGAGAGAGCGGGGAGAGAGTACTCAGCAGACAGGAAGTAGCGGGGAGAGAGTACTCAGCAGACAGGAAGTAGTGGGGAGAGAGTACTCAGCAGACAGGAAGTAGCGGGGAGAGAGTACTCAGCAGACAGGAAGTAGCGGGGAGAGAGTACTCAGCAGACAGGAAGTAGCGGGGAGAGAGTACTCAGCAGACAGGAAGTAGCGGGGAGAGAGTACTCAGCAGACAGGAAGTAGCGGGGAGAGAGTACTCAGCAGACAGGAAGTAGCTGGGAGAGAGTACTCAGCAGACAGGAAGTAGCGGGGAGAGAGTACTCAGCAGACAGGAAGTAGCGGGGAGAGAGTACTCAGCAGACAGGAAGTAGCGGGGAGAGAGTACTCAGCAGACAGGAAGTGTGAACATTGAAGCAAACGAGGTTATACTTCCATTAACCAGGTTGTTACAGGAGGACCTTTGTCAAAATGTTAATGATCCAACATTCGCTGATAAGTGTCATTATTAACACGGATAATGATTCAATATTTGTTGACCGAAACATTGTTAGCTGTGGTATAATGGACTTGCAAGTGTTGACAAGACCATTACAAAACTTCATATATAAATGTAGGGTCATTAGCCGCACGGATTATAATAAATATATTATTAGCAACAAAACAGATGGTAGAATTGGTAATTAACTCTGCATTAGCCTATTTATGTAAACACAAAAAATCCCATTGTTATTATATTGCGCGTAATTTTGTAAAGCTAAAAATAATTGCCTGCAAATTATTAATAATTGAAAATTATTTGGTAATCTACATTTGCTTCCAAATTGAGTCTATTATCACGTTTATCCGCAATATCCGTTTCAACATTAGTTTTGAAATCCTTCAGCTTATAGAATATTTCTCTTTGTGGAGTTGTAGAGCAGGTTGTCGGCCGTGACGACGCCCACTAGTCTACGTCCTCGCAATGTGGCCCCCATTAAGATGATTGGTAGAGAAACAGCGGCTCCACAAGTTTGCTCTCGAGTTCTGTCTGACACTGTCTTTCCCCCCCCCCCCCTCTCTCTCTCTCTCTCTCTCTCTCTCTCTCTCTCTCTCTCTCTCTCTCTCTCTCTCTCTCCTATGCATATATCAATATAAATAAAAATGGAAATGTTCGTTTGCGCATAACCGCTAATTCTCCAAAAGTTCTTCACCGATTGCTTTGAAATTTTCACACAACGTTGCATTCGCATCTGAGCAAGTTTTTATATACATATTATATAGATGTCACTTCTGTGAAAGTAAAAAAAAAAAAAAAAAAGAAAATGCTTTTTATGAAAAAACTGTTTTTTTTTCATGTGAGGGAAATTTTCGAAACCTCTTTACCGATTTCTTTGAAATTTTGACACTAAGCTGCATTCGAATTGGCGTGTCTTTTTATATATCTACTATATACATGCCTCACCTGTGACAGAAAAAAACATGCGTTTTTGGAAAAACAGCGCCATCTGTTGGACGTAAGAGCAACACACGCTGTAATCTCCGAAAGTTCTTCACCGATTGCTTTGAAATTTTGACACAACGTTACATTCGAATAGGGGCGTCTTTTTATATACCTACTATATAGATGCCACACCTGTGACAGGTAAAAACATGCGTTTTTGAAACACAGCGCCATCTGTTGCACATAATAGCAACATGCACGCTAAACTAAATATTTCCCGAATTGTGACGATAATCTCTTTCAAGAGAGATTTGGCCTGATCTTTCCTTCATCATGTTACTTCAGTACAGCTACAACATCTATATACTACAATCAAGAGTAGTATATATTTAGTAGAATTCGTTTCTACAGGGGGTATAGGTACCCTACACTCGCTCTCCACCTCCCCCTCTTCCCTGTCGCCACGCCACCCTCGTCGATCGCCCAACTACCACTTCCAGCCAGCATGCTTCTCATTGGTGAATCGGCAACTCCACTTGACTTCAGCGCCATCTGCATAGCCGATGACTAAGCGTGCACGAGCATTTGGATTTAGAATATTCTGTGCTCTCAAGGCTGATACTTCTATGTGGTATACGCTGTGTATTAGTGGAGGTTTTTAGCCAGCCATTATTCTCAGCACCTTTTAATTCATTTTTTTGTCTTGATCATTATAGAGTAACGTACCCATTGTTTTATTTTATATTATTTTTTGACGTTGTAATTTTGTTTAATTCGCACTGTACATAGCCAGGGGATTATCTCTGTTCATATATGTTTCAAGTCAATTAAAGTTTCATTGTTCATACGATTTGTTTTGCATGTTTTTTCCCTTTTACTTGACCACAGGAGGCAACAGCCACGCAGTCAACTTTTTTTTTTTTCTTTTTTTTTTTATATATGTGATTGGCATTGACACCAGCCATTGGGAGGACTGCCGTACACCTACATTTTTTTCCATCACATTTAATGGGGGGTCTTTCCGGGATAGCCTCACTCAGGTACTGATACTAGAACATCAATTTGTGGTAAGTGTACTTGGCCTTGATACAGTTGCTTTTCAATATTTTCATAACTTTTAATATTTATATGGTGCTGTGTATTTTGTGCATTCCGAGGGTAACATATTGTGAGTGTTGGATAACTGTGGATTACGTGGTGACTGGAGGCCTCAGTCACTCTTAATTGGTCGTTCATCCCTCGGTGTTATTACTCGTGTATTCCACCTTTTTCGTCTCTAGAATATTTCTAAATTACGACAGATTATCACTTTGGTACCCTGGTACTTTGGTTTGCCTTCGGGCCACGTACCGTATCTTCTGCAATCCGACCGAAGGAGGATAGAAGGCCATAGTGTCTCCAGCACGGACTACGCTGTTGAGTTGGGACCTCAAAAGCAGTTCTCGTCACCAGTTGACACTCGCACCCCTACACGTCGGTCTGAGATTATGATATTTACTCGGGTAGGGAATTGGCTTTCTTTTTCAGAGCACAAAGAATGCTAATTCTGTAAGTATCATCTAGTTAAGTAGGAAACCCCCTGCTTCTGTCCTATAGAGACCCGGCAAGGTATCCCCACATTCTTGGACTACCCTTTCACTTTTGAAATAATCAAAAGTTTCATTTGTTTTTGAAACTATCAGTTTCATTTATTTAGTAGGATTTTCTTGCCCTTATTCGCGTATATTGAGTACCGGGTGCAAGATTTCCTGCGATTTTGATTGAATAATTACTTAACATCTAATATTAACGTTAATTGTTTTCACATTAACGATTGAATTTCCACAGGATAGTCACCAGTTGCCACGTCATCCTGATAGTGACATTTATAATATCACGGGTATATTCGCTGTACATTTATTTGCTATCTCAAAATGTTTAGTCTCTCATCATTTCGTAGTGATCCAGCAAGTGAAGTAGGGAACTTAATTCGTGCCAAGAGGATAGAATTACAAACTCTAGCACTTGAGTATCAACTAGATGTTCCCCATGGAGCCACCAAAAGTGAATTGCACAACCTTATCCTGGACCACCTCTTAGATGATGGAATTATAGACTCTGATTCTCACAAACTATTCTATTGCAGATCGGCAAGCTCTGGCAGCTATGAAGTTAAAGCTAGAACTAGCGAAAGTAGAACGAGAACGCCAAAAAGAAGCTCTACAACTCGCTAATGCCGAACGTGAGCAACAGAAAGAAGCTCTCCAGATAAAGGAACGCGAGGCTGCCCTAAAGAAGGAAGAACTGGAACGCGAGGCTGTCCTAAAGAAGGAAGAACAGCAACGCAAGGCTGCAGTAAAGGAACGCGAGGCTCTCCTAAAGGAAAGAGAGGCTGCCCTACAACGTGAGCGTGAAAGGGAACGGCTTGAAGCAAGAAAACGTAACCTGGAGATGCAACGTGAACACGATAAGAAGCAAGCCGATAGAGTTCTAGAATACCGTAGACAAGAACTCAACTTGGAAAGTACACACCTCACTCAGCGCCAACAAGCTACAGCCAGTCTTCCAGCAAGCTTCAATGTCTCCCAGGCAAGTAGGTTAATGTCACCATTCGTTGAGACAGATAGATGTGTTTTTTACTACTTTTGAGGCCCTAGCTAAAAGACTTAGCTGGCCTGAAGATCAGTGGTCTACACTTCTCAAGAGTGCATCTCACAGGTAGAGCTCCGATTACTCTCGGTACCTTAGCGTCTGAGAATGACTACCAGACCCTAAAGCAAGCAGTTTTAGACGCCTACCTTCTCTCCGCCGAAGGCTGCAGACGAAAATTCCGTGATTATCTAAAGGCAAGTGCTACCACCTATTTAGAATTTGCCAATACTAAGAAAAGATATTTCATGAAATGGCTGGAAGCAGCCCATGTTTCTACATTTTCAGACTTTGTCAACCTTATTCTAGTCGAAGAATTCTTTCGACGTATTCCAGCTTCCATCAGTCTTCACTTAGCGGATAAGGAGGAAACCGACTACATCAGATGTGCGATGTCGGCTGACACCTACAGCCTTATACACAGGTTGACAACTGACACATCTTCCAGTAAGAAATCTTGGCCTGATTATGACAAAGTGAGTACCAATCAAGCAACCTCTCAATTATATTGTAAGTATTGCAAGCTCTATGGACATACCATAGATAAATGTGGAAAAGCCCAATACAAAGGCTATAGTGAAACTCCTAAACCCAAACAGACTCCTCCAAAGTCCGGTAAGCCTGTGATGAATGTTGGTGTTCCTGTTAATGATCTTTCTCTCTTCAGCAAACACCTATACCCTGGAACTGTCTCTGCCAACAGAACAGATTCGCAGGGTTGTTCTAAAGTGAAGATCTTGAGAAACACAGCTACTCTTCAGTCTATCATTTTGAAATCAGCTGTGCCTAACATCACCTACACCGGGGAGACGGTCCTGATCACTGGCCTCACTGCTACCACTCCGTATCCACTCGCCAGAGTCCACCTGGATTGTCCTTTCGTACAAGGTGAAGTTCAAGTCGCCATCCGGGAAAAGCCTTTTCCCATTAAAAGGGTACAACTTCTCCTGGGCAACGACTTTGCCGAAGATCTGCAACCTTCCAACTTGATCATGGACAAACCCCAGGTATGTGACTCTGTGGTGGAAAACCCCATCTTGAAGTATGTTCCAGCAGAGGTCCAAGAAAGTGATGAAGTCTCACCTCCGGTTTTGGTGACAACCCGTGCGCAAGCTGCACGCCCACAACCAGCTGACTCTACTGCAACAGCTGTCCCTCAAGACCATCAGAATCTACCACCGAATCTTACTATGTTGGAGTTCCCTAAGTTACAGAGGGAAGATCCTTCGTTAACACCATTATTCTTCCAGGTCGAGACTCAATCTGACAGTATTCCTGGGCTCTTCATAGAGAACCAATTACTCTACCGGAGGTACAGACCCAGTAAACTAACGGAGGATGACGATTGGGCTAATGTCGACCAACTAGTAGTTCCCACCAGCCTTCGGCCTGATATTCTACACCTGGCCCATGGAGCACTTTCTCACTATAGTTTTAATAAAACCTATCACGGAATCAGACAAGACTACTACTGGCAAGGTATGATTAAAGATGTAAAAACTTGTGTACAACAGTGTCATACATGTCAGATGGCAGGAAAACCTAACATCCCGATTCCCAAGGCTCCTTTGATTCCTGTCCCGGTGCCTTCGGAACCTTTTCACAGACTCGTCATAGACTGTGTTGGTCCTTTAGCCCGGACCAGTTCTGGCAACGCTTATATACTAACCATCCTGTGTCCTACCACCAGATTCCCCATAGCAGTTCCAGTAAACATTATGGCTGCTACGGTGGTGAAACGACTATTGAAGATCTTTACCCAATATGGATTTCCTCGGGAGATTCAAAGTGACTGTGGCGCCAACTTCATCAGTGATCTCTTCAAGAAGACACTGGAAGAATTCAACATCACTCAGGTATTGTCAAGCCCCTATCATCCTGCTTCACAGGGTTCTCTTGAACATAGTCACCTAACGATAAAAGCACTCCTAAAGAAATTTTGCAATAAAACCATGAAAGACTGGGATAAACAACTAGACATCATCATGTGCATTTTCAGAAGTCTCCCAAATGAGTCTCTAGGAGTATCTCCTTATGAGATGCTCTACGGACGTAAGTGCCGTACTCCTCTTAAAGCTTTTAAAGACTCTCTACTTAATGCCACCTTCAGTGACCCTCAGTATGTGCCTCAGTTTCTTCAAAACTTAGAGCACATTCTAGAGAGTACGTAAATTTGTCAATGATAATTTATTAAAAGCTCAAGATAGGATGAAGACCCATTTTGACAAATGCAGCAAAATCAGGAAATTTAAAACAGGAGACTTCGTGTTAGCATATTTTCCAATCCCAGGTTCGCCATTGCAAAATAAGTTTTCAGGACCTATCCACAAAGAGTGCAGAAACAACCACAACTACGTTCTTGAGACTCCAGATAGGCGGCGGAAAACCCAGTTGTGCCACGTCAACCTTTTGAAGGAGTATAAAGGTATTCCCCCACTGTGCTAATATTTTTCTCCACTTTTAAAGGTCCATACCTCCACAGTGAGACCTTCCCTGCTTCTCCTCCTGAAAGCACTAACTCTGAGTCAGTGCCTTCCATCTCGGAAATCCTTACTGATCTTCCTAAATAATTACAGGACTGTAATAGTGCTCCTCTCATCAAAGTTCTTAAAGAACATCAGAAGGTGTTCAGCGATGATCCCCAGGAGTGTAATGTGGTTCAGCACGACATTCAGCTACTTCCTGATACCCGGCCGATTCGTCAACCCTTCTACCGTATCAGCCCGTACAAAAAAGTTATGCGTGCTGAAGTACAGTACCTTCTGGATCATGGGCTGGCCACCCCTTGTGAGTCCCCTTGGGCCTCACCCTGCATCTTGGTGCCGAAACCGCACGGTAAAGTAGACTATGTACCGACTATAGGAAACTGAACCTTGTGACCATCAAGGATCCTTACCCTTTACCTCGTATAGATGATATCCTTG